TGTGATAACGTGCCGTGGGCCTCGGAAATGCAGTGAGAGTACAACAGATTTTGAAAGAGGGGGCTGTTTTATTTCCTGGACCAAAAGCACTCGGGAGTCGTGTTATCGTGTACTGTCTGCGCGGCACTCGAGCCACTGCTCGTCGACTCTCAGCGCCTCGCCTCCTCCGAGGTGATGAAGAGGGGCTCCTCGGGCAGCAGGCGGTTCTCCCTGCCGCCCTCCTGGGCCGCCGAGTGCATGGCCGTCCGCCAGTGCTGCTTGATCCACTTGCGGATGTGCTGGCGGTGCAGGCGCCTGGCGCCGCGCACGGACGCCGGGTCGGCGGGGTTCTGCGAGCGCAGGTCCAGGTGGTGGGCGCCCTCGGGGATGAGGACGGCCTGCACGGAGTCGCTCATGTTGCGCAGGATGCCGCCCGCGGACCACGGGTCCAGGAGGCCGTTGCTGTGGAGGAATAAGTGGTCAGGGTTGTGTAGAGGTAATCGGTGGAAGCAGTCGGGTGTGCAGCGATTGGCCGTTCACTCGAATCAATCAGTGTACACCCCCCTCCAAAAAATCAGAAAAAAATCCCAGAAAAATCAGGAAATTTAGACGAAATAAATCAGAAAAATTAAGGAAAAACCAGAAAGATCCGTGTACGTTTGTATTTATAGTAGAGGACCCCTCGGTGTGCGGTGCGCCTCGGCCCCTCACCTGAACACGATGTTGCTGGAGCCCCTCAGGTCCCGGCCGCCGAACTCCCAGAGAGTCATGTTGAACTTGGGCCGCACCTTCCACGTCGCGAAGCAGGCCTTCGAGTACTCGGCCTCGTTCCACGGGGCGCGCTCGAACATGTCCGAGCGCCCGTCCGAGCACATGGGCATCGCCATCTCGGTGCACGCCTAGCGGATACACAAAATATTGTCGTGACTAGCATTTCTCTCCTCATATGATGAACAGGTCGAATAGGCTTTCCCGCGGTGATCGCGTTTTTATCCCCTTTTCGCCAAACGCGTCTCCCGAGGGGGTATCCACTCTCCAAAATCGTGGCCCGACTACTCCCTATTACCTCTATTACCTCTATTACCTATGTATTACCTCCCTAAAACTTAAAATTTCACACTCTGTTTGACAATCTGACATTTTGATCACTTGTGAGAGAGTAAGAAAGTCTCGAAGTGGCGCAGACACCGTTCGGGCATGCTGGGAGCAGGCATGGCCCTCACTCAGGTTAGCCAACGTAACAACAAAAAGCCGCTGCTTTTCAAATTGAAAAGTTAAAT